GATTCGATTGCTTTACAACATCAGTTTCTTTGTTTTGCTATACTGATTGGGTAACTAAAAACGAACTGTTTTTTTGATGATTATTTTGCATATTAATCGTTCATCTTTCAGTTAGTGGACTCAGACAGTGTTACTTTTGTGGACGATGCCGATTTGTCCGACTTGTATGATTTCCCGAACGATAAACAGCTTCAAGATCTGATCGCAAAATACAATGAAAACCGGTACGGCCTCAAAATAGATCTGGTACGTCGCTTACCTGAGGTGAGGCATTGCGCTACTGACTGCTGCAGCTGATTTTCAGGACGAAAACGGCGTATCATTCCACGGATTCGTTCGTCTGTTGATTAACTTCAGCCGGCCTGTGAACACCGTAGATTGCTTCAACGATTCGTCAACCTGCTACCTGGTCGACGACAGGGTGGCCGAGAAAACGGACCAAAACGGAACCACCAATTCCCGCGGTACCCTGACGTCGTTTTACCTGCCTCGGAACTCGGTGAAGCTGCTTCACATCACCAGCGACACGACTACACGCGAGATGATCGTATCGCTGCTGAACAAGTTTCACATAGCGGATAACCCGCGTAAATTCGCGCTATACGAACGCGATCTGGAGTCGGGCAAGACGCTTCAAGGTACGGGACACTGTTTATCCGGATCTTCGTCACTCAAATCGTTACTTATCTCTTTAGCCAAGCTTCGGCGCATTCCCGACGACGCATGCCCGTTGCGAATCGCTCTGCTGTGGGAAGGTCTGCCAGAACGGAACTTTGTTTTGCAAGAAAACGAGACCGGGGAAATAATCGTAAGGCTTCGTAGTTGCTTTTAATACTCATAGCCATCCAAATGCAGTAGGCAATGTAACAGACATTAATGCCTTATATTATTAAGGGTTTAATACCGTTGGTGGTATTTATTAATTCGTAAGCGGACATTTTTTAAGACTTATATTGCTCGGTATTAGCGACTAAATCAGGTTCCGCAATTTTTTCCTATTTTGAGTTATTATTAAGAAATTGTTTACACGGTTCCTCAAAACTTTTTTTCCGTTCGTACCCTTTCCCATATACCCTATGAACTGTTCTACTCTTAATCACCTTTTTTGAACATAACTTGCCACAGCGATTTACTTTGCATGACTGAATGCTGTTCTATGGTACCGAAAGCTGTGTCGAAGAAATATTTTATTTTCATATCTGTTATCATTTCTTATATTATTCTTGGTAAATGTTTTAGCATTTATGTTGATTATTCCATTTAAAAATTTTAATTAAGGTAATAAATACGTAGGCGCGATCGGAAACGTGTACTGTTCTGGTATTTTTGTAGACCGGTTGTAAAGATTCAGTGCTTAGTAGTCTGCCTAGCGACAATAGAGTATTTCGTCTTTCTTTTAACAGAATATGAAGCAACGTGTAACTGTGCGTAGACCAGTTCATACCGCACAATTCTGTCTGTTTTAAACGTCCAAGTTGAGTTGATAGTATTCATTTCCCTATTTTCTTCTGTGAACGTATGAAACTTCTTCTCGTCCAACAAGTGACGGTCATCGATCTTTTAACGGAAGGTATCATGAAGACATCAGTTCACCATGCTCCTCCGTGAAACTTGATACTTCTGTCATGTTTTGTTGTCTAGGTGTCATTTTCGTAGGATCAAGAACCTAGAAAGACGTAGGGAGCTTTATCAAATCAATATTATTGTTGTTTGTTAGCTGGCTGACCGTTTCAAGGTTCATGTAAAGTTTTCTGTGTTCATATTCCCTTTAACAATTTGACCCTTCATGACTCCTTCTCTAGTCTCTATGATGTTCATATTTAACATTCCAGTCTTGTATGCTAACCTGTACTTAAGTCCTTATTCATCGTGGTTGTATCGATAGCAGTGTACTTTAGCCCACTCAGTTTGTATGCCCGTACAAAAACTTTACTAAACGAACGATAGTACCATATATTCGGAACAGATAAAACGAATTTTAACAGATGCAGCCTTCCTCTTTTTATAAAAACAGCTAGTTCTGTTTTTGCAGATGTTTCTACAACTTGGACGACTCCTTTCACACTGGATGACTTCCTGCGCATGTTAAGCTCTGTGCGGTTATTAACATGCGGCTGTTTACTCGTCATTACTGCAAATTCGATTGATGCAGTTGCTGTCAGCTTCAGCCATCATTCCTCAATATATTTTAGTTTAGATACACAAGGGTGATTGCAGGCATATCGAGCAGTTATCAGCATTCTCGGATTATAAACAGGTCATCTTTTCCGACGGAATTTTCAGCCTTAAAAATAATCATTACTACTAAACCGTAAAATAGCTTCTTGAAAAGGCACATGACAGATCGAAAGACAGATGGAATAGGCATCTGAGCAACTAGCTCTCTCAGATCTTAATCCCTTGCAGCTTGCTCCATTTTGGAAAACCTGGAATTGCACAAATATCGAGTGGATCTTTCATTCCTACGCAACGTAAAACAGAAAATTGGATGAAATATGATAATAAGCTATGCACATTGATAGTCAATAGTCATCTGGTCAAAAAATTTTTAATTTTCAAATTCGATGATTTTGAGCACAGTGCTTCATCTTCATTATAATGACCATTTTCACTTTCGCGTTGCGGTGGCAGACGTGTCAGGCAGTGC